AAGTAGGATGAGAGGCAGAGCTTCACCTACAACTGAAGGAAGGTCGTGGGCCGGAGGAGTGACGGTCACAGGGTTGCTGAGCCGGCTGAGTGACAGCCTGGCCCCCTCGCGCCTGTCCAACCTTAAGAAGTCACCTGCGGAGGGTCCCCTGACTCCCAGCACTTGGCTTCTCTGCTGCACGTGGGTTAAGTTTAGAAAGGGCCGGAAGTCCACCATTTGTCCTGGAGCTGACTCAGCTCTGAGGAACTCAGGGCAGCCCAGCAGGTGCGTCCCCCTGCCCTGCGCCGGGGTCCCGCGCAGACTCAGACAGGAATGGCTGAGACCTTGACCCCTGAGTCCAGCATCTAGAGGGGAGCTGGCCCAGGCCCCAGGGGTCTCCGAGCCAGCGCCCTGAATTTGGACTTCTAGCCTCCTAGACCATGAGAGAATAAATTTCTATTTGTTAAAGTCATCCATTTGTGGTATTTATGTTATAGCAGCACTAGATGACTAAAATAGCTGCTAACCAAAAGGTCAGGAGTTCGAATCCACCAGCCGCTCCTTGGAAACCCTATGGGGCAGTTCTACTCTGTCCTATAGGGTCGCTATGAGTCGGAATGAACTTGACAGCAATGGGTTTGGTTTGGTTTTTTGGTGTGTTCAACAACCAGGTAATAAAACTCCTGACCATTTAGCGGTGGCCTCTCACAAGCTGGTGCCAGCCAGCTGCTACACGCCGTGGCTGGGGAAACACAGTGGAGGGGAAGACAGACTGCAGACGTGACCTCAGCTCCACGGGGCTTGTCATGCAGTGGGCTGGTGTCTTAGTTACCTAGTGCAGCTGTAACAGAAGTACCACAGCGGGTGGCTCTAACAAACAGAAATTTATCTTCTCACAGTTAGGAGGCTCACTGTCGTTGTTAGGTGCCTTCGAGTCGCTTCTGACTCATAGCGACCCTACGCATGACAGGACGAAACTCTGCCCAGTCCTGCGCCATCCTCACAATCGTTGATATGTTTGAGCCCATTGCTGCAGCCACTGTGTCTCGTTGAGGGTCCTCCTCTTTTTCGCTGACCCTCTACTTTACCAAGCATGATGTCCTTCTCCAGGGACTGGTCCCTCCTGATAACATATCCAAAGTATGTGAGAGGAAGTCTCACTATCCTTGCTTCCAAGGAGCATTCCGGCTAGAATTCAGGGAGCTGGCTCTAGGGGTGTAAGGGGTGTAAGCTCTGTCAGCTCTGGGGGAAGGTCCTTGTTCCTTTGTGATCTTTATGCTGTGTGGCATCCACCTTCTCCCAGCTTTGCTTGCTTAATCTTCTCCTTTTATATCTCAAAAGAGATTGACTCACAACAAGCCCTGCACTAATACTGTCTCATTAACATAGCAAAGACAACCCATTCCCAAATGGGATTATAACCACAGGCATAGAGGTTAGGATTTACAACACATATTTTGGGTGGGCACAATTCAATCCGTACCAGCTGGCTGCAATGGACTCTTGGGAAGATGGTCCCAGAACACCCCCACTTCTGATGGCCACAGGGCCACCCCGGAGGACACCATTTCCTCTGGGCGTCCAGCTGTCCACAGAGCAGCCTCCGCATTCAAATCCCGAGTCATTCAGGGTGACGGGGTCAGGTGAAGATTGTCCCAAACCACAACAACTCACATCTGTGAGCTCTTGGGAAGCCTTTTGGTCCCCAGGACCCCGAAGATGGCACAAGGGGGACAGGGAAAGGGCAGGGGTCGTGTTGGAGAGTCTCAAAAAAGCAACTAGCCGGGAGATACAAGTGTGGACTTAACCTGGAAGAAAAGGATTAGGGGCGAGGAGGAGGAGGACAGACGATGGGAGTGGCCGATGGTCCAAGTCGACATTTACCTGCCCCAAGCTCAGCACTGGAGCCCTGGTGGCGCAGTGGTTAAGAGCTACAGCTGCTAACCAAAATGTTGGCAGTTTGAATCCACCAGCCGGTCCTTGGAAACCCTATTGGGGCAGTTCTACTCTGTCCTATAGGGTCGCTAGGAGTCAGAATTGACTCAACAGCAGTAGGTACGAGTAGCTCAGCACTAAGGAGCCCTAGTGGTGCAGAGGTTAAAGAGCTCGGCTGCTAACCAGAAGGTCAGGGTTTGAACCCACCAGCTGCTCGGCAGGAGAAAGATGTGGCAGTCTGCTTCTGTAAAGATTACGGCCTTGGAGACTCTATAGGGCAGTTCTATTCTGTCCTATAGAGTCACTATAAGTCAGAATCAACTCAAGGGAAGTGGATTTGGTTTTGGATTTAGCTCAGCACTGGGGAAGGAGTCCTCATTCTAGAGACCCTCACATTTCAAAAATATTTGATGTTATTGCTGACTCGGGGGACTTTGGAGATGTTTATGCCAAGCTCAGCCAAGTTTCCTACGCCTTTCTCTCTGTCCCATACACATGTGCACGTGTACACACACACACCTACATTCACACATATACACACCCCCACACACATACACCTGTGCACACACACACGTATACACACAGACACAATACACACACATCTACATACACACATATACACACCCACACACACCTAAGCACATCTGCACACATACACCTACATACACACATGCACACCTACACACACATACACCTGTGCACATGTGCACACATGTATACACACACACACAATATACACACCTACATACACACATATACACACACACATATACACCCCCCCACAATACACCCATGTACATACACACACCTCTACACACATATACACACACCTACTCACATATACACACCTACACACACATACACCTATGCACATATGCATATGTACACATGCACACACACATATACACACATACACATGTATACACACACATACACTCATACACATAACACGTGTGTACGCATACACACACAATACACATACTCACACACTTGTATACACACATGTACACACATGTATACACACATGCATGTGCACAGATACCTGCACACACACACACACACACACACACGCACACGCACTCTCTTCTATATCATTTGTACCAGGAGGGTTCTCTTCAATACGACACCCCTTACGAACTCCTTCTCCGCGTCGGGAGCCCGGCCAGCACCAGGAACATGAGTCAGAGGACAGAAAGCTCCCCCCCGTGCGCCTTACAGTCTAGTGTTGGCCCGTGGTCGTCCACAGCGGCCTGTGTCTCGTTAGTTCTGGGGCTGAGTCTAACGAAGCCCTTAGTTGCCACACACCCAGCTACGGACTCCACTGTCACTCTACAAGGTGTGAGGTGAGATGGTTCTCAGGGGGTTTAGAACAGGGCTGGGAAATGGGGTGCTGTTTCTCGCGACCTCACAAGTCCCTGCTCTGGGCATTGCATATAATTCTTGATGTAGATGCAATATGAAGTAGCATTGACAGGAAAGTCGGTTACCTGAGCTGGGTTGGGTGGGACTTCTTCATATCCATGGTAACCTCAACCAGGGGACAACCATCTGGATTGCCAGAGACAGAGGTTGGGGGCTTCCACAATGGGACCTGTTTAAGAAAACTAAGCCCAGTGCCCTGGAGTTCATTCTGACTCATGGTGACCCCATGTGTTATGGAGTAGAACTGTGCTCCATGGTGTTTTCTTGCCTGTAATCTTTATGGAAGCAGACTGCCAGGACTTTCTTCCATGGAGCCGCTGAGTGGGTTCAAGCCACCAACCTTTAGGTTAGTGGACGAGCGCAAACCGTTTGTGCCACCCAGCGACCTCCAATGTGGGACATGCAGGGCTAAAAGCAGGCCAGTGGTCCCAGGCAAAATGGGAAAGCTGGTCACTCCAATTCTCACCCCCTCCCAGCTGCCCCATCTTGAACACCAGGCCTACAAGGCCAAAATCTCACATCCCAATAAACTGCCACTGGGTTCTAAATCTCGCTTTCCTTAAATCCATTTCCCTAAGAAATATTATAGCATTTGCTCCTTTTCCTTTTATAAGATATGTTGAAAAAGAGCCATTCATTGCTAAATCCCTCTTTTCAGTCACTTTTAATATTCTTTTTAAAAGAAAGAAGAGAAAAGGCGACTGGACCTCAAACTTCACAGACTTGGATGAAACCCAAAGGTGAGGAGTTTTTCAGCAAAATCCATTCAGGGTCTTGAAAGTCAAGTACGTGACTATAAAACACACCTCCTCAGTCTAAAATAATGCCCTTTTCTATGCTTGGGTGGCTGAGCTATGAGACATCAGGGGACATATTCCGTGCTCCCAGCAATGTGACCTAGAAGAAAGAAGGGAACACAGTGGTTATAGAGACGGCCAGGTTCCTTGGGGTCTGCGAGGCCACCCCAGGCTGGACAACGGCCCAACCTGGGTTCTGGAAGGACCCAGTCCATCAACCTCACCCTGCTGTTCCCACCTCATCCCGTCGTGACTCCTGCTGACTGAAACAACAGGCCACCGCCTTCACTGCCGAGGGGCTGTTTCAATTCTCAAGGTCCCCGGGTGGCGCAGTTTGCGTTCAGCTGCTAACCTAAAGGTTGGAGGTTCAAACCTACCAGAGGTACCGTGGAAGAAAGGCCTGGAGATCTGCTTCCACAAAGATTACAGCCATTGAAAACCCTATGGAACACCACTCTATTCTGACACCCACGGGGTCGCCATGAGTCAGCATCCACTCGGCGACAATGGGTTTTTAATGGGTTTCGATTCCCCTCCGTACAGTTGTCACCGGCGTAGCTCCAGCTCTTGGCCCCGACCATGGCAGTGGTGTCTGCCACGGGGAGGATGCGTCTGGATTTCACCCAGGGCGCTTTGATGCGGGTGGGGGTGGGGAGACATCCATCAACACCTTCAAATTCCGGCCTTATCACTGAGACGGAGCACAGCGTTCTCTCTCTCACCAAGATTAGCCTGCACCAGAGCTGCAGAACTGGCCTTTGCCCCATCAGAAGCGTTCCTGTTTGCGAGACAAACAAAAAAAAACCTGTGTGTGTGCGTGTGTGCATGCGTGCATGCGTGTGTGCGTGTGTGTGTTTATAATCTCATTCAGCCCTTGCGAAGCAGCTGGGCGAGTGGGACCACTTCTATTTCGCAGGTTGTCGTGGCCCGTGTGCTGATCTGTGGGGGGGCACTGGCTTCAGCTGACCTGGGTTCCATTCTGGTCTTTGCGACTTGGTAGCTACGTGACATTGGGTGGCTTGCCGGATCCTTCTGTGCCTCAGTTTCCTCATCTATAAAATAACAGTGATAGTAGCACCATCTCAGAGGTCTGTCACAAGAAGTCACCGAGGTAAGGAGTCCAAAGTACTTGCATGTCACAGCAGCACCATTCACAGCAGCCAAAAGGTGGAAGCGACCCAAGTGTCATCTGTCCATCAGATGAGTGGGTAAACAAACGAGAGCTCTGGTGTATACGCACGACCGAGTATTACTCAGCCGCGAAAAGAAATGAAGGTCCGATACACGCTGCCACATGGACGAACCTCACGGACACCATGCTGAGTGAAATAAGCCACACACAAAAGGACGAACACTGTAGGGTCCCACGTACATGAAATGTCTAGACAGGCAGGCGCACAGAGAGCACAGTTTCTTAGGGGTGACCAGGGGCTGGGGGGCGGGGGGGGAGCAGTTACCGCTTCAAGGCCCTGAGCTTCGGCTTAGCGTGATGGAAAACTTTTGGAAACGGGCTCTGGTGCTGCTAGTGCAACATAGGGGGTGTAAACAATGCCACTAACTTTACACTTAAAAATGGTTAAAAAGCAAATATTTTGTTATACAGATATTTAACCTAATAATAATAAGAAAAAGCTTGCACAGTGCCCAGACAAAACGGTCGCTGCTATTCCTGGAGGCTTCACCAGTTGTTCTCGTCCGACGGGCTCCCTCCCTCCCCAGCTCTCTCCGATTCCGGCTTTGGCAGATCACAGGGAAAGATTCCCTTCTCTGGTCTCTCTGTTCACCGCTAGGTGGCTCACTCACACAGATGCCTGTGAGTGTTCCCGACAACTCCCAGGAGGTTTGTCTGGCTTTAATGAAAAGGAAAACAGGGAGGAAGGTCGGTGTCTTGCTTACTTAGTGCTGCTGTGACAGAAATAGCCAGGTGGCTGGCGTTAAAGGAGAGAAATTCATTTTCTCACAGTTCAGGAAACTAGAAGTCTGAATTCAGTGTGCGGCCCTGGGGGGAGGTCCTTCCTGGTCTACTTCAGCTTCTATTACCCAGCAAATGAGCCCCGAAGTGCTCAGCTACTGACCGAAAGGTTGGCAGTTCCAACTCACTGTCGGCTCTGCAGGAGAAGGACCTGGCGATCTGCTCCCGTAAAGATTACAGCTTAGAAAACCCTACGGGGCAGTTCTACTCTGTCACATGCAAGGACGGAGCGTCCAATAAGCAAGGTACACACAGGCTTACTTGTGCTTACTTATTAATCTGGAGTGCGCAATTTCACATGGGTTTCACCACACCTTTGCCATGTGAAACTGTGCACTCCAGATTAGTAAGTAAACAAAAGGAAGCCCGTGCGTACCTTGCTTGACTAATGTAAGCCGCGCACACCTTGCTCCCTGGTTAATCTGCCCCTGGTCACACGGGGTCTCTAAGACTGAAAGCAACTTGACGCACAGAACAACAACAGTGTCTGCAGTCGTCGGCATCCCTGGGCTCCTAGACTCATCTCCTCTGCTGTCTTCAGACAGTGTCTGTCTTCCCCATCTCTGTTGGCCTGTCTCTGTGCCCGGGCTGCTCCTTAACACTCACACGTGGTTAGCTTTAGGATCCACCCTGCACTGATATGGCCTCATTAACACAACAAAGAAAGCCCTGTTTCCAAATAGGATCACATCCACAGGCACTGGGCTTAGGAGGCCAACACAGACCTTGGGAGACACAATTCAACCCATCCCAGTTAGGGAGGAAAGGGGAGCAGCTGTGTGCCTACCTGCCAGGCCCTCATGGGTCCTCCCACCACCCTGGATAAGAGCCAGCTCCTCTCATGCCTGGAGCGTGATTCACTTCCGGGTCAGTGCTGGAGCTGCCAATCAACCTCTAAGACAACGCTCCATCTCCTTGCCTCTTTCCCTTGAGCACCCAGCAAGGGGGCAAGGAAGACAGAAACAGCTGCAGGAGTCCCCACCTGCCAGGGAGAAGATCACAGGAATGGAATGTTTCTTAAAATCCTATTTTCTAAGGCTCATCTGGTAGAACAATGAGAATAACATTTGTATATGTTATTGTTAGGTGCCACAGAGTCAGTTCCGACTCATAGTGACCCGATGTACAACAGAACGAAAC